AAAACGTTCCAGAGAGAGCATTCAGGTCTTCTAGTTTCTTAGTGATGGTAAAAGGACAAGTCTATCTATTCTCATTATAACGTCATATTATATTTTGTACTACCGTGGATTTCTCGTCATTCCTTGGCTTGAATTGGGAGGAACAGGATCAGAGAGAAAATGGGACAAAAGTTAACATATATACACATGTGCCCTACCACCTCCTCCTTCCTTTCTCCCTATACTCTCAGCATATTATAATATTTTGGATTTCTATATTTTCAGAACAGATCCTACTTGAAAAAGGTCTGTTGTATTGCCAGTAGAAGAAAACAAAAGTATTAGATCTTTATTAAGGAGAAAGGCTAATAATAGGTATATATACACCTGAGGAATTTTTTTGTTTTTTGTTCAGATAGAGTGGGAGGGAGAGAGAGGAAGAGAGAGAGAGAGAAACATCAAAGTGAAAGGACACATCGAGTGGCTGCCACCCACACGACCAACCAGGGCCAGGGACAAACTGCAACCGGGGTACATGCCCCTAGTGGGAACCGAACCCGGGTCTCTCTGGACCGCAGGCTGACGCTCTAACTGCTGAGCATAATCGCGAAGGCATAATAGGTATATTTAAAAGTCTTTCTCTACTGTTTATGTTCATAAAAAACACAACTTCTGACATAATAAGGTCACTTGTCTAGGAATTTTGAATGAGTGAGAGGGAAGCCAAAACTGACTAGAGAATCATTACTTAAAAAAACAGAAAGTGTATAAGTCAGCATGTCCCAAAGACATATATCAGAGGGCACTTAAAATTTTGGCAGAAGCATTAGCAAATACTATGCACAGGGTGTGAAAAAGGGCAGAGTAATGGTCGTCATTCTAAGCCACCACTTTTGTTAGTCTAGTGTTCTTCACCACCTACCCCTAAAGCTATAGAAACAGAGAAGCTATGCAAAACACAATATTTGCATTGCATTGGCTCTTGAAAACACAATTTACCCAGCCATATCTCATCTTCATTTGTCATTTTTCCAGCTTATGCATTCTATATATAAATCCAGTTTGGCTTTTAAGAACTCGTACGTCTGTGGGAAACTAGTACTTCCATTCACTAGTGTTTCTAGAATTCCAGTTTTAACAACTGCCTTATTTCGTGCTCTAACCAACCCAGAATGTTTCTGGTGTGCTGTGTAAAGATGAAGAAAAGTTTGCATTTATTGGATTCTGTTTGTTATTATTAATCCAGGCTTATTTACTTGTTTTTGTTTTTATATTATATATTCTACCTGCTTTCATAAAATAATTTGGATAGATTGAGATAAGATGCATATATTCTAGGACAGTTATATATAAAACCATAGAATAAAAGATCAGATAAATTTCTCTTTTCTAGGAACCTGAAGTGAAATGAGTACTGCACTTAAACATTAAATTTAGCTCTTAGCTTTGGCAACCAAAGCAAAGGGAAATATAATGAGTTATATGGTTTTATTTATTTTTGTTTTTAATCCTCACCCAAGGACATTTTTCCATTTTTGGTTCAGATAGAGAGGGAGGAAGAGAGAGAGAGAGAAACATCGATGTGAAAGGGACACATCGAGTGGCTGCCACCCGCACGACCCAACCAGGGCCAGGGACAAACTGCAACCGAGGCATGTGCCCCTGTGGGAACCGAACCCGGGTCTCCTTGGACCACAGGCAGACACTCCAACCACTGAGCCAAACCGGCCAGGGCTGGTTTTATGTTTAATAAAAGGGAAAACCATTACTCTTATTTCATGATTATTTATACATTGCATTATGTCTATAAACTTCTTCACAGTAGGGACTGTATGGATTCATGTTTTTACTCATGACAGTGTTTAGCATCAGTGAACAAGTGGTTAAATATGTTTTCTTTTGAAGAAAGTACTTCTTTTGGTACTGAAATCTAAGAGAAAATTTGTCATTTGAATTCTTATGAAAGAAGCACTGAGTAATATAAATTATAGACAACTGTCAGCCAAAGTTTTATAAAGGGTGTAAAATAGTTCTTCATATAGCCCTTGCTTTTATTGAAACCCTTCCCCAACCTCAATACATGAGATAAGTGGAAAGGTCAGTGTGGTCCCTGGAACAAATCAGCTTCAGAGTCAGGTGGGTGCAGGTCTAGTCCCAGATCTACTCCATTGCACCCTGTGACCTTGGACACATTGTGTAAGTAACATTGCTGAGCTTTAGTTTCTTCATTTGTAAAATAGGGCTATTACTACTGTTCTCAAAGGAATTTTGGGTTGATTAAATGAAGTCATCCAGGTAGCTACTCAATAGTTTCTATTTAGAGAAAATAATATGTGAGCTGAGCATGGGTTTTTTTGGCCATATAGTTCTGTTTATTTTGTTTCCCTCAGTCCTTAGTGCTATAGTTGTCATATATAATACATGTGTTTTTTGCTTTTTAATCCTCACCCAAGGATATTTTTCCATTTATCTTCAGATAGCATGGGATGGGGAGAGGGGGGTGGGAGGGAGAGAAGCATCGATGTGAGAGACACACACCAATTAGTTGCCTCCGTCACGACCTGACTAGTGCCAGGGACTGAACTACAACCGAGGTATGTGCCCGTGACTGGAATTGAATCCATGACTCTTTGGTCTGTGGGTAGATGCTGTGCCAAACCAGGCAGGGTTTTTCTGTGGGTTTTTTTTTTGTTTGTTTGTTAATCCTCACCCAAGTATATGTTTTTCCATTGATATTCAGAGAGAATAGAAGGGAGGGAGGTGGGAGGAGAGGGAGAGACAGATGTCAATTGGTTGCCTCCCACAGGTACCTCAACCAGGGCGGGAGATGACCAAACCTACAACCCAGGTACATGCCTTTGACTGGGAATCGAAACTGTGACCCTTTGGGTCACAGGCTGACACTCTAACCACTGAGTAACACCAGCGAGGTTTACATGTGTTTTTGATACCATTGTAATTAGCTAGTTATTAATAACAGGAAAGAAGCAAAGAGAAGGCCAAATATTATAGGCTTGTTATTTGGACAGCTTCACCAGCAAGCTAAGACTTTACACTCCTCAGGGAGCCACCAGTCTGTTCCCTGCAGATCGCTGGGGGAAGGGACTGTACAGGGAGGAGAATAGATGCATGCCCAGTAAAATTTGGTTGACATCAGGACGGTACATGCCAGTCAGTCACACCTGGAACAGGTCATTGGCCAGAATAGACATGGCTACTGCAAGGGCACAAAATTTGAGATATTCAATCCCCTGAACAAAGAAATTTGCTTTCTTGGTTCCTTTTATTCTCTTGGGACTCTTATTGATCAGGTGCACTCTCCTGCATTTGCCCAAGTGGCCCACAGCCATGTGGACCCCCCTACACAGTGGACTAATGGACTGTAAATAGCCTGATGCTGAACTGGACCCAGCGCAACATGAAACGGAAACTCTGAACACTGGCTTTGCTTCTAGCTTTACTGAAACCCCAGCTACACTTCTTCCAGGACTGGATTAAGGGAAATGGGACTTTGGAAACCCAGAGATGTAATTCCATGCAAATAAAAATCACTTATTCTTCCATGTGAGTCTCAGAAAATTCTTTTTCTTAAGATATTATTAGGGCCCTGGCCGGTTTGGCTCAGCGGTTGGAGCGTCGGCCTGCGGTCCCGAGAGACCCGGGTTCAGTTCCCGCTGAGGGCACGTACCTCGGTTGCAGTTTGTCCCCAGCCGGTTGGTCGTGCGGGTGGCAGCCACTCGATGTGTCCCTTCACGTCGATGTTTCTCTCTCTCTCTCTTCCTCTCTCTCCCTCCTCTCTATCTGAACAAAAAGGTGTCCTTGAGTGAAGATAAAAAATAAAAATAAAAATAAAAGATATTGTTAGGACCCCACCCCTAGCACCCAGTGGGGAAGAGGACACCCCAGTTTCTCTGATAACATTTTCATTACAAAGACCACAATAAAATGTTGAAATTTTTATTCTAAATAGTCTCACATATTTTCTTAAACTTAGGGAGAAAAATATATATTTATAATTTACCTATTTATTTATTATATCTATTGCTTTTCATTGCTTCTTGAAAATATGAAGTATCCACTTGGTATCATCTTTCCTTCAGCCTGATGAATTTTTTTTTTTATCATTCTTGAAGTGCACATCTGCTTGTGATGAATTCTCAGTTTTTATTTCTCTGAAAAGCTCTTCTTGCCTTTATCGGTATTGGGGGTGATATGCTTATTGAGGTACAATTTATATATTGTAAAGTTTTCTCTATTAGGTAGAGAGTTTAATGAGTGTTGACAAATGTGTTTTTTCAATCAAGATGAAGAAAATTCTGTCACCCCCAAACATCCTGGGTCATTGGTTTGCCCTTTACTTTGATAGATCTAGAAGAGTTGTTAATTTATTTGTTCAGCTTTTTACATGTTATTAAGATGATTTTTTTTTTTATCCTCACCCAAGGACTTTTTTGCATTTATCTTCAGATAGAGTGGGAGGGAGAGAAGGAGGAAAAGAAAGAGAGAAACATCGAAGTGAGAGAGAGACATCAACTGGTTGCCACCCACACGACCCCAACCGGACCCAGACAAACTGCAACCGAGGTATGTGCCCTTAGCGGGAACCGAACCCGGGACTCTTTGGTCCATGGGCCGACGCTCTAACTGCTGAGCCAAATTGGCCAGGTCTGTTAAGATGATTTTTAAGCTCCTGATATGTAGGACCAGAAACTAGAAGTCTGCAAGCATGTTTCAGTTTACCTTAAGTATACTGATAGTTACTTTAGAATTCTTATCTGCTAATTCCAACATCTTGGTCATCCAGGATTAGTCTCCATTGGTTGCCCTTTCTCTTGAGTGTAGGTAACATTTTCTGTTTTTCTTACATCTAGCAATTAGACATTATGAATGATACATTGTTAGAGATTGGATTGTGTTGTATTTCTCTGAAGAATGTTTTTTTTTCTCTCATTTAAAAAATGTTTCTCAGAGCTAACACTACCTTGACTATATTTAAATTTCACACATTATTTTTCCTGCAGTTGACCACAGGTGGCATCTTTGCAGTCCTTTTTGCTTTAGCTGGGGTATTTGGAGTGTGTTCCACATATGCATAGGTCAGTGGTTAGTCATGTATTTGGACAGATTTTATAGAATTTTTGGAGTATGACACATGCTTCCGCTGAAGTCAAACAAACAGGTGGTGCTCTGCCTTCTTGTTTCAGCTTTCATACAGTGATGACCAGAGGCTGAAGATGGTGGGGGACAGTACAAATGCTTCAGCTCTGGGGCCTGTTGGACAGAATTGAAACCCAATTTTGGCATCTCTTAGTGGGGCATCCTCAGGCAAGTCACTTAATACTTCTGAACCTTATTTTCTGTTTTGTAAAATAAAGGAAATAGAATCTACTAGGATGAGTTGATTTTGGATGTGAGGTGTGTGTTTGTATACACATATAAATATTTCTGTTAGGAGCAGTGGTTCAGTATTTGCTAATTCATTTTTATAGTATATAATACTAGCAGCTTTATAGTATATAACTGCAGTGAATAACAAGACTCAAGCGTAATTGTTTTTATATTTTGTACAGAGTTAAGGTGTTCTCTCTCCTCTACCTTTCCCCACCCAGCAGCTAGAATGATCCTTTTACACATAAGTCAGATGTCATTTCTTTGCACAAAATTCTTCAGTGATTCTCTATTTTCCTGAGAATAATATCCAATGTCCATTCCATGGTATGAAAGGCCATATGTGATCTGGTTCTCTGTTACCTCTCTGATTTTATCTTCTATCACTATCACCTGTTATTATTCTTTTTCAGCTACACTGAGTACTGTTTTTTGAAAGTGCCAAGTTCGTTTCTGCCTTAGGGCTTTTGCATTTAGTATGCCCTCTCCTGGCTATGCTTTTTCCTCAATATTTGCATGACTATCTCCCTCACTTCTTTTAGATCTCTGCTCAGATATCATCTTACTAGAAAGGATTTCTCTGTCTTATATAAAATAGCATCTGTTCTTTACCCCATAATTCTGTATCCACTTTACCTATTTTATTTTTCCTGATAGATTGTATTGCCACCACGCATTATATGCATATGTATGAATGTATATACATGTGTATGTATGTATTTAGTTGTTTTATCTTACCTGCTAAAGCAGAAACCTTTTGGTTCATGACTTTATCCCCAGGGCCTAGAAGAGTACCTTGCTAGACACTTGAATGCATATTTGGATATATCAGATGGGGTCCACAAGAAACTATTATGTTTATAAAGGAACCCAATAGGCATATAACCAACAGCATTTAGAACTCTGTAGCGGTATGGAGAGTGGTTAGGTAGGAATGGCCTCAGGAGAGAAGGGTCTAGAGTGGACATGTTTGTGCTAAAGATTGTTTAGTGGGCTGATTACTTAGGCAAATAGTAATAATACGTGCATTCAGAAGGCTTTTTGAACTGTTGATCTCTTTATCCACCAGCGATAAAGTTTCTTTCCATTTGCCTATTTTAACTCCTTTCTGTATAATTAGCTTTTATGTGTGTGTGTGCATGTGAGTGCATGTGTATTGTTGGCAGTGGGGTTTTTTGCCTTACAGCATGGGTAAGCTTTCTTTTACCCTTTCCTGCCTCTCTGGTTTCTTGTGACCAATTTCCAGTCCTTTCCTACCAGCTTGTCTTCCCTCTAGTGGCTAGTCCTCATCTCCCTGGTTTCTTTTTTTGTCAGGGAGGGCGTTTTATATGTGCACTTTATCCCTGAATGCTGAAAGAGTACTTGTCAAACTGACAGATGGGGTGACTACTGGTTGCCACTTGACATGGAGAGCGACACCTAAAAGTCTACATTTGCAGCTGTGGGCCTTCAAGAGACGCAATGCAAGAGGTTGTACTTTATCAAGTAGAAATAACCATATTGATATATAGTATTTACGATATTAAAATGTGCCTTTTCTGTAAACTTATATTTTTCCCTCATACTCTCCATGCTAGTCTTATATCATAGATCTTTTTCATAGGATAAATAAGAGAATATAGAAAACACTAAGAGTTTTGAAGACTGGTGCCTCATTATTTTGTTCACTTATTCTGTACATCATATTATTTACCCCCTCCTTTGTTTTGACACTTGCAGCAGTTCCTTGATATTCACTGAAATATAACTCATAAAACTAGCATTTAAGGCAATTTATAATATACTTCCTATTCTACTTTTTAAAATTTCTTAACTTAGTCTCATATTCCCTATACTCTAGTCCACTGGTTTTCAAAGAATTCTTCACAGTTTCTAAAGGATTTGCTTGGACAGCTGGGGGGTCAAGTTGGCAGGATTCTGTCTCCCTTTTTTGACTAGAGCCTTTAGGATTTCATCTCTTTTGCACATTTGACTTTTTAAAAAATAGTTCTGTAACTAAAACAATGTTTGAAGGTCACTCCATTTATCAGTCTGTGTGTCTGATAGTCTGACACACACACACACACACACACACACACACGCAAAGTCCTATACTCACACTTTGTTATGGCTTTCCTATTTTTCTGTAGTTCCCTCTACCTAGAATGCTAATGTGTACAATTGATCATTTATATAGTTAGTTTTGCTGGTTACTTGGACTAATATGACAATTTTAAGCATTTTAGCTAAAAGAACTTCCAGAGAACTGGGAATTAACTATTTACATGATCAAAATGCTAAGGTTTAATATATGTTTTGTTAACTTATAGCATCGTATGCATGATGAGCAAAGACAGATACTTCTCCTAAATGTAGAAATACTAAGTCTTGAGTTTGGGCCAGATGTTTTTCAATAAATGTGTACTTCTAAGATATTGATGAATGGTGATGAGAGGAGACTTGACTTGGGATGGTGAACACACAGTACATTGTACAGATAATGTGTTGTGGTATTGTACACCTGAAACCTTTATAATTTTGTTAACCAGTGCCACCCTAATAAATTCAATATAAAGGAAAAATATATATATTGATGCAGGTTAGTGGGAGGGTGTGAATTTGGCATGTATATGGTTGTTTTACCTGTAGGTTTTGTTGTTGTTTTAATGCACACTGTATATAAAGCCAAGACAGATTACATTTGCCTTTAAAAAATTTTTTTTTCTGGTTTTATTCTAAATTTCACAGAACAGTTGTGTGTGTGTGTATGTGTGTATGTGTGTGTGTTTAATTCAAATACTTATTTGCAATCCTAGCCCTTCTTCCTAAACTCCTTGATGAAATGGTGACTTAGATTTTTTTTTCTTAACAATTACTGAACACATTTAGTTTTATGATATAGTTTTAAAAAATACATAGTGTTTTCCTTCTATCTTAGTCATAAAACACTGAATTCTCTAAAGCTGCTTTAATTCACACTAGAGGTATTTTCTTTGCATTTACCTAGCAGATAAGAAATATATTGTGCAATGGGAGTTCTTTCATTTCCACATACTTTTATTATTATTATTATTTTTAGTTTATCTTTATTTTTGATGTTTCCACATACTTTTAAAACATGTCTTTGGAAATATGATGTTAATGGTATGATAGTCATTGTTTTATATTTAATATTTTCACTGTAGAATGTTAATATGTAATTGTTATCCAACAGCCTTTAAAGGATAGTTGTTGCCAGTGTAAAACATTCAAAACCATTTCTTCCAGAAAACCTATAGCTAAAGCAGTGGTTCTCAATTGGAGGTCCTTTTGCCCCCAGAAGTCATTTTGGTAATATCTGGAGACATTTTTGGTTGTCACAGCTGAAGGGAGACACTGTTGGCATCCAGGGAGTAGAGGCCAAATATATTGCTAAATATTCTAAAATGCACAAGACAACCTCCTACAACAAAGAATTTTCTAGCTCAAAATGTCAACAGTACCAGGATTGAGAAGCACTGAACTAAAGATAAATATCAGTTTTCCACTTCACCTAAAAATGTTTATTTTAATTATAAGAGAAATATTTTTATTTTTATCTTTCTGTACAGGCATGCAGATTTAATCAGCCATTACCATAAAAATGGTTATTACATCTTACTTTAGAGAAGAGCATATCTTTAAAAAAAATTATTGCTTTTTTCCTAAAAGAAAGGTATAGTTATGAAATAGCTATCTTTTGTTTCTTTTTTTTGTTTTTTGTTTTTTTAACAAGTTTGCTATTGGTATCATTGGGATGAAATGAAAATTAGAGAATTGTACTAAATATTCCTGCCAACAATGAAAATCGAAGGTCTAGCTGTCAGCTTAAAGCAGCTAAGCCTTACTTCAGGGTCCCCATCTAATAGAATAGATCAGGTCACCTTATTGGAGGAATTACTTTCCCCTCAGGATTAATAAAGAACATGTTAATAGTTTCCACTCTCTCCTTACCACTTGTCCCTCAAACACAGTGTTAATAGTTTCTGTACTTTTATACTAACATTATACCAGTGTTAACTGCTTCTATATTCTTCTGTACCCTTCTCCATGCTCTATAAAGAACATTTAAGCCCTGGCCGGTTTGGCTCAGTGGTTAAAGCGTCGGCCTGCGGTCCAGAGAGACCCGGGTTTGGTTCCCGCTATGGGCACGTACCTCGGTTGCAGTTTGTCCCCGGCCCTGGTTGGGTCGTGTGGGTGGCGACCACTCAATGTGTCCCTTTCACATCGATGTTTCTCTCTCTCTCTCTCTCCCTCCCACTCTATCTGAACAAAAAATGGAAAAAAAAAAATGTCCTCGGGTGAGGATAAAAAAAAAAAAAGAACATTTAAAAACATGCACACACAGTAGTTTGGTTATTATTTTTACATACTTCTCAGACACGATTTTTTCACTTTTACTATATAACATTCGTTGGTTCATTTTTTTTTTTATCTTCACCCAAGGACATTTTTGCATTTATCTTCAGATAGAGAGGAAGGGAGAGAGAGAAACATCAATGTGAGAGAGACACATCGACTGGTTGCCACCCACATAATCCCAGCCGGGGCTGGGGACAAACCAAGGTATGTGCCCTTTGCAGGAACCAAACCTGGGTCTCTCTGGTCCACAGGTCGACGTTCTAACCACTGAACCAAACCGGCCAGGGCCCTTGGTTCATCAATACAGAGTTAATTTTTTTTCTTAAGAGCTATATGATATTCTATAGACTATATAGAGTGGTGTTTCAGAGTTTATTGAACTCTTAGATATTCAGTTATTTTCAGGTTTTATTTTTTACCACTTTAAACAATAATCCAAGTACATGTATACTTTTGTACTAAATTTTTTTCTAAAAATGAATTTGTTCATTATTTAGTACAAAAAAAAATAATGAGGATGATCACAAATTGTTCATTTGACTCAAGTTGTTCATTAACTTTTTTGGAATTTGTATT